GCGCTGGCCTGCGCGAGCGCGCTGGCCGACGGCGCGGGCGTGTGGGCGTGCGAGGACCTGGCGGCCGCGCTGGCGGCGCTGGGGCCGCGCCTGGTGCTGGAGCGGGACCCAGGCCTGCTGGGCCGGGTGCGGCGCCTGTGGCGGCGCCTGGTGGGCGACCGCGGCGCGGCGGCCGCGCTGGTGCCCGCCCTGGAGCTGGGCTGGGGATCGGAGGAGGCGTCGGAGAGTGCGCCTGGCGGGGCAAGGTGCGCCGCGGGACGGCCGATGGAGCTCGCCGCGGCCACCAAACGGCCTCCCGCAGAGGCCCTGGCCACCACCCCCACCCGCTTACCAGGGATCCAAGCCGTGTGGGCGCTGTGCGTGGCGCTGCCCGGCAGCCGTGTGGTTCCCGGCCAGCCGCCGCTGGCCGTCGGCAGTGCGGGCGAGCTGTCCGCGGCGCGCCTCGCGGCGGCCGACGCGCTGGGGTCCCTGGCCGCGGCTGTGGTTCGGCGAGCGGGGGGCGAGGCTGGGACGACGAGTGGGGAGGCGGGTGGGGAGGCGACCGGCGATCCCTCCTCCGCCACCAACGACGCCGCGCTGGAGGCGGTGGCAGAGACGCTGCGCCGCGGGCTGCAGGCCACCGAGGGGAGGTGGCAGACCGCGCGGCTGGCCGCCGCCCTGGCCCTGCGCGCCTGGGCGCAGGGCGGCGATGGTCGAGGGGGCGGCGCCGCTCGTGCAGGCGGCGCTCCCGGTCGCGGGACGGAGCGCCTGCGCCTGCTGGCGCACGTGGCCGTGGCGGCCGCGCAGCCCTTTGCGGCCGCAGGTGGCGCCCAGACGGTCGTGCCGCCGGCGGCGGCGGCGGCCGCGGCGGCCGCCGCCGTGGCGGCCGCGCCGCACGATCTGCCCGCCAAGCTCAACCCCCTGGTCCAGCCGCTGATGGCCGCCCTGCGCCGCGAGCCCGACCCCGCGCTGCAGCTCGTGGCGGCGGGGGGCCTGGCCGACCTGGTGGCGGCCCTGCGTCGCCGCACCCCCAGCCCCGTCGACAAGTGAGGCTCGTGGTGTTCTTGGGCTGCGGGGGTGGGGGGGATGAACGCCGGGCAGGGGGAGATTGGCGGGCGGGAGAAGATGGCCCGGTCACCCTGGGAGGACCAATCACGGGAGGGTATCGTACAAATAAACAAATGCTGGAGTGCGGGAGCATGCAGGACTGGACCTAGGGTGCTGGGTCTCGTTTGGCATCGTGGCGTCCAGATGGAGCCGTGATTTCGTTGCGCACCGACGTGCCCTCGCTCCTCTCCTCCCTCCAAAATCCTTGCTCCTCTATTATCATGCCCAGGATTGTGAAGAACCTGGTGGGGTTTGTTACCGGGGACCGCACGCCGGATGCTGCCGCGCCACCGCCCTTTCCACCCGAAGACGAGGATGCGGAGGCCGCCGGCGCCACGGAGGCGGACGACACTGGCGCGGGCCCCGCCGCCGCCTCGCCGGCCGCGCTGGCGTGCCGGGGCGGCGAGGCCGCGCTGCGCGCGCTGGCCTTCCGCCTGGGCGACGACCTCTTCCCCGCGCTGCCCTGCCTGCTGGAGGGTCAGGTGGAGGGGCCGCTGAGGAGCCTGGGGGGCGGCGCAGGCGGGGAGGAAAGCGCGCGGCAGGATCCCGACGGCGGCGAGGTCGCCGCGGCGCGCGGCGCAGCGGCGGCCTGCCGCGTGGTCGAGGCGCTGGCCCCCGCGCTGTCCCCAGGCGCGCGACGCGCGCTGCTGGACCGCCTGGCGCTGGCGCTGGGCGCGCTGCGCCACGCCAACGGCGCCGTGCAGCTGGCCGCCTGCCGCGCGCTGGCGGCGCTGGCCGCCTCGGACCCCGCCGCCGTGCTGCCCGGCCTCCTGGAGGGGCTGACCCCGCTGCTGCAGGGCGCGGCGCTGCCCGCCGCGCGCGCCGGCGCACTCTACGCGCTGCGCCTGCTGGGCTCGGGCCTGGGCCCGGCGCTGGTGCCGTACGCCCCGCTGCTGGCCCGCCCCCTGCTGGGCCGCATGAGCGACCCGCTGCCGGCCCTCCGCGCCCTGGCCGCGGCCAGCTTCGCGGCGGTGGTCGCCGCGCTGCCCCTGGCCCTGGGCGAGGGCGGCGCCGGCGGCCTGCCGGTGCCGCCGGGGCTGAGCGACGCGCAGCGCGCCACCCTGCTGGCCGAGAAGCGATTCCTGGAGGCGCTGCTGGCGGGCCCGGCGGCGCAAAGTTGTGGCGGGGGCGGTGGTGGGGCAGGCGGGGCGGACGGTGCGCCCTCCCGGATGGCCCCGCCGCCGGCGCTGGCGCTGGACCTGCGACCGTACCAGCGCGAGGGCGTGGCGTGGCTCTGCTTCCTTCGCGCCACGGGCCTGCATGGCGTGCTGGCCGACGACATGGGGCTGGGGAAGACCGTGCAGGCCACGGCGGTGCTTGCTCTGGCGGCGGCCGAGGAGGGCGTGGCGGCGCGTGGCGAGGGCAGGGCGCCCCGCCCCTCCCTCGTCCTCTGCCCCGCCACCCTTGTCGCGCACTGGCCCTTCGAGATCCGGAAGGCGCTGGGAGGGGGGGGGGTGTCGCCGGTCGTCGGCGCGCAGGTGGGTGGCAGCGGCGACGGCCAAGGAGTGCGGAGCGGCGATGCCCAAGGAGTGCGGAGCTGCGACGGCCAGGCAGCGGAACCTGGCGACGCCAAAGATCCGACCACCCCCGCCGCCACCCCTGGCGGCGAGCCCCTCGCGGTGCTGCAGTACGCCGGTGGCGCAGCGGAGCGCGCGGCGCTGCGCCCCGCCTTCCTGGACCCCGACGTGGCCCGCCCGCCGGACGTGGTGGTGGCCTCGTACGAGACCCTGCGCGCCGACGCCGCCCACCTAGCCGCCCGCGACTGGCTCTACGTGGTGGCGGACGAGGGGCACGCGCTGGGCAACGCCGCCGGGCGCGTGGCGCGTGCGGCGTGCGCTCTGCGCGCGCAGCACCGCCTGGTGCTGACCGGGACGCCCGTGCAGAACGGCGTGCGCGAGCTCTGGGCGCTCTTCGACTTCCTCATGCCGGGGTTCCTGGGCACCAGCCGCGCCTTCAACGCCAAGTACGGCAGGGCGCTGCAGGTGCGCTGTTTTTGAGGGGTGCTTGGGGGGGGGGGCGGGGGGGGGCGCGGGGTGGTGGGGAGGGAGGGGGGGGGGTGCGGAGCGTGTGCGCTGGCAGGGCTTGTCTGGCTGGCAGGCAAGGCCGAGGCTGGCCGGCAGGGTGGGATTGCAATGTTGGCTGATGTTGGGATGATCCGTGACGATGTCCTCTCGCCTGCGCCGGCACGACCCGTCGCTCAGCAGAGACCCTGATCCCCTCCCCCACCCCGGATTGCCAGGTGGCCTCGCGCCAGGCGCGGAGCCGCGGCGGCGCGCTGTCTTCCTCGGAGGCCGGGGTGCTGGCGCTGGAGGGCCTGCACCGCGCCATCACGCCCTTTGTCCTGCGCCGGACCAAGGGTCAGGTGCTGACCGACCTGCCGCCCAAGGTCCTGCAGGACGTGCGCTGCACGCCGACGCCCCTCCAGCTCGACGCTGTGCGAGGCGCTGCGCTCTGGAGGGGGGATGACGGTGAGCTGGAT